AAAAAAAAAGAATCAAGAAACAAAAAGTTTTCCTTCTTGAATATGAAGTACCCTATTCATCTTTAATGTCTCAACTCAGCCTTACATATCTCTGTTATAGATAGCTAGACAGAGATGATGAACTATTAAAAGCTTTAGACCTCATCTAGTACCACATATATTCGTAACTATTCCACCCTTTTAACATTAGTTTTGAAGGATCTGGTCAGCATCCCAAGTAAATTATAAGGTTACTGGGTAGATGTGGTCATGTTTACAACTTATTTCTCTGCTATGCTTAGCATTGTTTGGAACACAGTAGATATTTTGGTGTAAGAGTGGAATGGATTTTTAGGGTGAGATTCACCATATTTTACAGAAGATTGAGAATATTCAGCAGGAATTCTTTATATTGTTTGTTCTTTTGAAGAAAAGGATACAGAGGCATTGTGGCTCATTTTCCTTCCACTCAGGTCTTCTTTCCCCAGCACACAGACTGAGGTACAGCAACGAAACTGTAGATGTCAAATTATCTTCCCAATCTCAGGGCTCTGTCATCCAACTAGCTGAAATCCTTTCTCCTCTTCTTTTCCTTCCCTTTCCATCTGTTCTTTCCTTCCTTTCTCTGGATTATAAATAGATGACAGTATAGAACAAAGAGTAATTTTTATTTAGAGATACTATTTTACTGTTCCCTAGTAAGTTGTGTAATAGTAAAAATACATTGTAATATTTCTTTGCAGCTCTTTTCTCTCCTAAATTATTTGTATGACCTGTGATTCAATTTGGCAAATTTTCTTACTCATTTAATTTTTTGGGGGGGTAGTCATGGGGCTTGAACTCTGGGCTTGGGTGTTGTCACCGCGCTCTTCAGTTCAAGGGCCACTTCTGGTTTTCTACTGGTTTATCGGAGATAAGAGTCTCATGGACTTTCCTGCCTGGGCTGACTTTGAACCGTGATCCTCAGATCTCAGCCTTCTGAGCAGCTAGAATGATAGGCGTGAGCCACCAGCGCCCAGCTTTTCTTACTCTTTATAAATAAACTTTCCAATAATTACAAGCCCACAGATCATTAAACTAAAAAGCTGTGGAAAAACCTGCTTGTTGCTGTGTTTTTTTCTTGGTTAGAGAATGAACCTTTAAGGCTTAAATAACTTTCCTTTATACCTATATAAAGCAACAAAAACTGAGTGAAAATAAAGGCATGGAAATGGAGAAATGTTTTTTAAGTGGTACAGTTTTGGTTAGACAAAAGAATCACTGCTGCAGATCTTTTGCACAGCAGTTTTTGTATTTAATAATAATGTATAGCACACATGAAAATTGCCAAGGGAGAAGATGTTAAATTGTATTTAGTGATAGATACGTAAATTAAGCTGATAGACCCATTCCACAATATTATACATATATCAAAACATTATTGAGCATCCTACGTATATTCAGTTTGTCATTTGCCACTTTAAAAAGTAAAAACAACAAAAATCTGTTTCTGGTTACCTTAGGCTCAAAGGACCCAATTTCTTTCTTCATGATTTCCTTAGAAGTATTTACAGGCAATGATACTGGAAGTTCCTCTGTAGTTTTAAATAGTAAAATATCAGAAACAACCTAAATGCCCATTACTAGAAGACTAATAAGCAAAATACAAAAAATTCTTTGTCTTACTGAGCTTGTGATACAATGTCATGTTTAAGTTATAATTTTGTCTTTTTCAAATGTCCCCTTGTAAAATATGCTACACCTGAAAAGAGTATGTTATCTTTCAACTTAAAGTAACTGTTGACTCAGCATTTATATTGCTCTCATCTTTCTTAGAACATCTAATGAAATTATCTATGGAAGAACTTGTAGAATTTCTTCAGGATACTCTAGCAAAGGATTTTTTCTTCGAAGATGATTTTGTAATCGAGCAACTTCAGATTTCTATGGCAGAACTGAAGAGGGCGAAATTAGACCTCCCAGAACCTGGTAAGAAATATCCTAACATTTCACTAGTTTTCTACTAGGAGCTATGGATTTAAAAACTGAAAAGAAAGATGTATATCTTACTTTTGGGGAGTACATAGGAGATACAGATTGCTCAAATGATAACAAAGTGACTGTAAATGAGACACTAACAGAGCTAAGAGAAAAATTAATGAGAGAAGGCCAAAGGACGTAGAGGAGAGAGCTAAAAGGGAAAGTGTAGAAGATGCAGTAAGAAAAACATCTAAGAGATTTGGGAGATATTACTGGACAGAAATTATTTTGATAGATATTGCTTATATGTTATCCTGAGAAATTTGTTTTTGCCTTTTTCTTTCCCATGTTTGTTGCAGTAGATGAGGTGATAAGAGACTGGGTAAGTGGAAATTCATGAGTGAGAGATGAAAAGTAAAAACAGTCATTTATAGACCTGGAGGTATGGCTCAGTGGTAGCATACCTGTGTGGCAAGTGCAAGGTCCCAAGTTCAAACTCCAGTACTACCAGTTATCCTAACTAGATTTGGTATTTCCTGATTCAGTGTCACCTGTGTATCTAGACAGGAAGAAAGCAGAATTATATTCATGAAGATTTGTTTTTCCCTCTGTAAAAATCAAGCTGCTCTGCTGTTACTTATTTAATTGAGTGCCTTTAATCAGCAATTCTTGGTGATTTGGGGTCATCAGGATAGACTAGAAAACAACCCATCACAGTGGTAATTGAGTTTTGAGCATAGGCCTTGTGAAACCATCGCCTTTACTAAGTGAGGTCAACTCTCCCTTGTTCAGCATAATGATGTCCATTTTCTACTAATTCTTTCCTGTAACAGGAAATGCATTTGGAGCAGCAATTACTATAGACTTGCTACTGAATGTTTATTTAAACAGAGTTAAACAGAAGACACACATAAAAAAATATATGTATTATCAAACTATTTAAACATGAGATTAAAGCTTGAAACCTCTAATGGAATAGAATGTTGTTTACTATCTATCATCTAACTAGCAGCTAATAATTTTCAATTTACTACTTGCCACACAGCCTTTCATTTAACCCCTAAAAATAACTGTAGAAAACGTTCTAGTCCTCATGTCACAGCATTACTGAAATGGGGGCCAAGAGTAGGGTAGGGGATAAAAGGAGAGGGGGAGATAGGTAAATCATACCAGAATCACTGGGTAGTGTCTACTCTCATCACCCTGGCAGTTAAAAATGTATGGTAAGATGTGTTAGGGTAGCCCAGCATTTTCTAGAACAATACAGTAAACCCCCCTTACTTGGGGGTTTATTAACAAGAATAGAAAATTTGAAAGCAAAACGTTTTAACTTTGTGAGCACATTGCAACTGGGTGATGTGGAGCTTTTAGTCCTGCTTTCCCCAGTTGTAAGTCATGTGATCCGCTCCGTGTTTCCCTGCCTTAACCAAAAAGGAAATGGTGCCCAAAAAACAGGGTAAATGTGAGTTTTAGATCTGTTGGAAGGTGACATATTTTAGTGGAAGTTGGATGGCATTATGGGGACTATGAATGGATCCATAGTACTATGCATCCTGGGCATGCACAGAATTTCCTTGGTGGCAATCTCCTTGAAATTGTAACGGGATACTAAGCCTACTTCAGTCTGTTTTTCATCTGTATTTCTACTACCACAACATTTATTTTCAGGATTTGTTTGCCTCTGCTCTTATTTTCTCATTAAATTATGAGCTGCATACATCATAAACATCATACAAGTATTTTAATATCAAATCCATCCTTTAAAAATGTACACAACTATGTTACTTCTTTTGGTTCCTTACATATTTTATCATTCCGTCCTCCCACCAATAATGTATGATGGGATCTATATAAATTCATGGTTTTTGTTATTTTTTTCCTGGTTGGATAGAGTATTCTACTGTTGTTTTTATCTACATTTCTTTAGTTTTAAATCTGGTATTGTTTCTTTATATTTATTAGGCATATATATTTCATTTTCTGTGACCTTCCCTAGTCATCTTTTGCCTGTTGACTATTGGTCTCTGAGTGCTTAGCAAGCTAAAGACATTTGCTCCTTTTACTATGTGTTATGTATCTTATACATCCTTTCTTTACAGGCCTTTTTTCTTATGACTGACTTTTATGTCTTGTTTGTTTCTTTGTTTTGTTTTTGTTTGTCAGGTTTAGGGCTTGAACTCTGGGCCTGGGTGCTGACCCTGAGTTTCTTTGCTCAAGGCTTGTGATCTACCACTTGAGCCATAGCTACACTTCTGGCTTTTTCTAAGTAGTTCATTGGAGTTAAGAGTCTCATGAACTTTCCTGCCCAGGCTGGCTTTGAACCACAATCCTCAGGTCTCATAGCCTTTTGAATAGCTAGGATAATAGATGTGAGCCCTCAGTACCTGGCACTTTTATGTTGTAATGTAAAGAAATTTTCACATACTAGATGAAGGGCTTTAAAAAAAAACACCCTCATATTTCTAACTTTTGTTGGGGGTTTTAGTGCTTAAATCACTTTTAAACAGATATGATTAAATCTTAGCTCATCTAAAATTGCACTTTGTTTATAGAATAAGCAAAAATGTTTTAATTATTTTTAAGTAGTTGTACAAAGGAGTTGCCATTTAATTTATGAATACAATATATCTTGATCATTGTCACCCCTTTAAGCTTTCTCACCATCCCTCCCCTACCTATCCTTTCCTTCACTCTCCTTAATTTTGTAGGATATAGTTGGATTCTTGAGGGTTGTTTGTTTGTTTTGCTTATTTTCCAAATAGTCGTTATATCATAGTATAGTTAGTCATATAGTTAGTATATCATAATATTTTATTCTATTCCATTCATCTCTTTATAGTTTCAATATAATTAAGGCTAATATTCCTCATTACTTTATCTCATCAAGTTACCAAAAAATCCACTAGTATTTGAGATCGTATTGAATTTTAGGGATTATGATTTTAGGGGTGAGGAATCCTAAGGAATGGCTTTTACTTTTTTTTTGTTTATTTGTTTGTTTTGGGTCCAGTCATGGGGCCTGAACTCTGGGCCTGGGCGCTGTCCCTCAGCTCTTCAGCTCAAGGCTAGCGCTCTACCACTTGAGCCACACTGCCACTTCCGGCTTTTTTCTTTTTGCTTATGTGGTGCTGAGGAATCGAACCCAGGGCCTCTGGCATGCAAGGCAAGCACTCTACCACTGAGCCACCTTCCCAGCCCTGGCTTTTACTTTTTACTTAATACTTTAGTAACCTTCGGTATAGTTTGTTTTCTTTATGTGAGTGTAGCATATTTCTCACTACCCACTCCAGCCCAGGTGTTACATTCATAGTTGGCCATCAGTACCTCAAGTGTGTTACAGGTTTCCTGTAGAGGAAAGTCCAGACAGTGGAGGCTAGGGATCCAGAATTCCTTAGTGGATAATTTTTGTGTTTTGTATTGCTATTGTAAATGTAATCTCTTCTTCCATTTTTTTCTTAACTTGGTAGGAGAACATTTAAAATATACTATTTTTCTGAGGATACAGCATGACCCATTGTAACAGACACTATGTTGAAAACAAACTTTACAACTTTGCGGGAAGAGTTGGGGAGGTGGAGAGAAAAGGAATGGTAGAGGAAAAACAAAGGAGGGGTAACAATGCTCCATAGGAAATGGACTTATTACCTTGCTTATGTAACTGTAACCCCTCTTTACAGTATCTTTACAATAATATATATATTTAATTGAAAAATTTATACTATTTTTATGACAGACCTAATTAATTGATTTCTTAGGTTCTCTAAGACTTTAAGGTATTATGTTCAGCAAATAATAGTGTTTTTCTCCATCTTTTCAAGACTTATGTTTCTTACTCTTTTTTCAAATCAAGAAAGTATCCAGCTATTTCTGGATTTAACTATTGTTAATTTGTTTGCTTATTTTTGTGCCGTCCTAGGGCTTGAACTCAGAACCTGGGTGTTGTCTCTGAACTTCTTTTGCACAAGGCTAGTTCTCTACCACTTGAACCATGTTTCACCTTTGGCTTTTTGGAGAGTTTATTAGAGATAGGAATTTTATGAACTTTCCTGCCTGGGATGGCGTTGAACCTTATCCTCAGATCTTAGTCCCCTGAATAGTTAGAATTACAAGTGTGAGCCACTGCTACACAGCTTGTTTTATCTATATATGCTAATTATTTAAAGTATTTTTTCCTCTCCTTTTCCCTTCCCTCTTTTTTTCCTTTCTCCACTCTCCTTCCCCTCTTCTTTTCTTCTTCCTCCTCCTCCTCCTCCTCTTCTTCCTCCTCTTCCTCCTTTTCTACTTCCTCTTCTCCTCCTTCTACCTCTTTTTCTTCCTCTTCTTTCTGTTCCTCCTCCTCCTTCCTTCTCCTCTTGTTCCTCTACCTCCTTCTTCTCCCTCCTTTCCCTTCCTTCCTCTTTCTCTTTTCTTTCTTGTACTAAGGTTTGAACTCAGGGCCTCACACTTGCTAGACAGGTACATTATTCCTTGAGCACTGCACTTTTTGTGTCAGTTAATTTTTGATATAGGAATTCTTAATGCCATAGCCACCTGGACTGCAGTCATGTCTACCATATCCAGCCCTTTGTGAGGAGTACCAGGATAGCCACAGACTGTCTCTACCTCTCAAGTAGCAAGGGTTATAGCATTCACATATTTTTTCTAGACCTGCAAAGTAGTGTTTTAAAATTCACTGATTTCTTTTTACATTTTTTGGTAGATTTTCTTCTGTAACAAAGAACTTTTCCTCCCTCAACAATAGGTCTTTGTGATTATTTTAAAATTCAGTTTCTACTTGGAGAATACTTAATTTTTTGTCTTCACTGATTTTTCCTATCTTCTATTCAAATGAAGGCATTTGGCAGTGAAGCCATTTGGGTCAAGCAGTGAAAGTCATGTGGTTAGAAACCCTACACTGATAAACTGTGACTGCCAATTTGACCCATTTTGTAGTGTGTTATTTACATAGCCCCTAGAGATTTTTCTTAAAATAATTGAGAGCTTTTTTAATGTTTATCCTTTAAGTATCA